ATAGATTCTTCTTTTTCACGTCTGTTCAGTGTCATTCTCCGTCTGGACACTAGATCGAGCTCTTCAGTCGTCACAGGTTGTTCTGCATCAGAGGATCCACACGAGCTCTAAAGTTCATACTGTCTGAAGATCACATACACAATATATAATAGATAATATGATACAGACAACATATCTCATTTTCCGTCCTCACACTTAAATCTCAAATCTCAGCTCGTCTTCACTGAATTAAGTTGATGAAGAATAAAACCAGTTTTGTTCATGAGGAAAATATATTTTATAGTTGTAGTTTAGTTTAATTGCTCATTGACTTAAATTTGTAGATTTCTGTATTCTAGTAGTTTCATGTGAAGCAGCTACATGTGTTTATTCCCTGTCCCTGTTGTGAACCAGTGCACCAGGATGTGGATGTTCACTGTCTGTGACAGAGTGTGTGCAGGAGCGTCTGTTTTTCAGTCTGGTGTTTGTCTTTCTCACAGCTTCAGTGTATGTGGGTCCCTACAGTTCACTTATCTCTGCTGTCCTCTCGGTCAAGTTCAGTCCTGACCGTCCCCAGACTCCAGTTCCCCTCCCCCTCCCAAGCTTGACAACTCGGAGCTGCGGTCCGCAGTGTTTTATGTCTGAATTCTTCCAAAAATGAGGACGAGGATGCAGCACTGGTCAAATAATCTGAATCCCACCTGACCTCAAGACTCTGGACAAATAAAAAACTGAACATATGGAAATACACTTTATTATAAGAGCCCACAGACAAATCATAAAGTGTTTATTTGTTGCCCTGAAAGTCCAGTGACCTCAATTATGCCCTGTAACACCCACATGCTCGAACATAATGAATCCTGTGGGATATGCATCATCTGCTGCTCATATAAGACTCTTGTTGAAAGGTCGGTTAATTAAAACTAGTGCCACCTCTCCTCCCGAGTCTCAAATCTTAAACTTGCTTTCAAAAGTTTTGTCACAGTAAAGTGACCCGGTGAGAACGTGCAGGTCGCTCTAACGATCGGTCCGTTAGTGGAACAGGAACCTCTCATCGATCGTACGACAGCAGAGGCTTTGTTTGATCAGGTTTGTTTGTGTTGACGTTCTGTTTGCCTTCAGTTCAGGGCTGTGATCTTTTCCCCATTCCACACTGTAAAAACACGAGCACCCCTCACATCAGGCTGTATCTTACAGTGACAGCAGAGAGGCCTTCCCTAAGAAGTATCTGGATTTATTTCCAAAGTAAAAAATAAGATAAAAAACAATATTGGTGCTTAAATCAGATGGAAATGTAAAAAAAAAACATCCCTGACAATCATCAGAAAAAAGAAGAATACGCTGAAGGAGAATAAAACAGTAAAGATTACAGAAGAAAAAGTGATTTTCATGATTCTGACACACATTTTGTGTCGGGTCGGTAAATTCCTTCACTGTGACGGGTTCATGCTGAAACACAGACAAGTAGAAAAGTGAAAAAATAAAACGTCCTTCCTCACAGACGGTAGTCCAAACATCTTCACACCGTGACATTAAGGCACGATGACCAACAACTGAAGTACGTTCAGTTATATTTTGATTTGCTTCAACTTCACGTGGACAAACTGAAGATCGACGTGTTGATGTCGACTCAGTTCAGTGTGAGAAGAGTTTCACCGGGTTCACAGCAGGAATGTCAGAGTTAGTTTGCAGAATATTGACACACACATCAAATACTTTATACACATCTGAGTTTCTTTCACTTAGTATCATCACTGCAGGAGTCTTAATTATTCAACGTGATCAAATATCCACCCAATGTCCGAGAAGAATATAATATAAAACAACTTTCCTTTTATATTTATAAATTCTATTCAAATGATTTATGACTTTTCTACTCAACCGTTTAGTTTTTACCCATGTTATACAATAATTAGACATCCTGTCTTTTTCAAAGTAAGAGTACAGTCTTGAGAGAAGCTACAGTGAGATAATAAACAGTTGCTGCAGCCTGTGTTGTTGTTGTTGTTGTTGTTGTTGTTGTTGTTGTTGTTGTTGCTGAAGCTTACAGAAGATGAAGCAGCAACATCTCGTTTTAACGACATCATTTGTATAAATACATATAATTTAATGTAAGCTGTCAGTTAAAGGTGTGATGGAGTGACCTCAGACATATCCTGTGATGTCATATCCTGCTGCCGTGGGCTTCTTGGCGCCCTGGACATGTGCACTGGAGTGGGAGCTGTCGCTGGTGCTGCGTACCAGTGTCTGCCCCCTGCTGGGCGGGTTCAAACCTCCCGCCTGCAGCGTGGGGTTGCGGTAGAGCTGTGAGGTTGTCCGTACCCCTGTGCCGGACATGCCGCCTCCTACAGGATATGGATAACCTCCGGCGTGTCGTCTCCCACGACCACCTTCCTGCTCCTCGCAGCACGACACACACAGCATCCCCCCCCCCAACATAGAGATGAGCGCGGAGGCCAGACCCACGTATAAACACTCGCCCAGCTCAAACTTCATGCTGGAGGGGATGTTGGGTCTGTAGAAGGTCTGGACCACCTCGTGCGTGGTCCACGACACAGGTATGAGTGCCAGGAAGCCTGCGGTGAGGAACAAGCCCCCGCCAGCACCAGCCACGCGACTCTTGACCGCGCCAGAGCCCTCCAGGCACAGAGTGCACTGCATCCCCAGGGACGCCAATGCAATTGCAAGGATGGACAGGACGATGGAGATGACCATGAGGGCGCGGGAGGCCTGCAGGTCGGAGGGCAGGGCCAGCATGGAGTTGTAGGTCTCGCACTGGAAGGCCCCCGTGCTCTGGTACACGCACTCCATCCACAGGCCCCGCATGTTGGCCACGGCCGTGACGATGTTGGAGCCGATGTGGGCGGAAATCTGCCAGTACGGAAGCACCGTGGCGACCAGGGTACCCAGCAACCCCAGCAGGCCCAGGAAGAAGCCCATCAGCTCCAGAGCTGCTGACGCCATGACAACGACTGAGGTGGAGGAGAACAAAAACAGAAGAGATGAACGGAGCGAGCAGACGGTCACAGAGCAAGATCCACTCAAACCTTGTGTGGATCCGGCAAAATGGGAGAGCTAGAATTTTGCATTCTATCTCTATGACGCTGTTGTGGGAATAATTGGTTTCTGGGAACTAGACCCACTTGTTCTATGTCAGACGGGTTCAACACCCCATGAATATTACTATCACTAAATCAACACTGCAAATACTGGCATGTAGGTCGTCAAGGTAACAGGTATAAAGTCAGCGCGGGTTAGCCTCAGCGGGCGACTGGTCGCCTGTGGTTTCAATTAGGTCATTTCAGTTTCATTTCCAAATGTTTGAATGGGTTTTGTTGCAGTTGTTGATTTGCTAATTGCAAAACATCAATTAAATGCTGTTAATTGGAGATCAGCAGAGCTGGTCGTTATTCTCCCCGACAGTTTAACCATTAATGCAAAGTTGAGGCTTCAGCGTCACAGTAATGAGCAGCAGACACATTCACACTTACCTGAGTCCGCGGCAGGTTATGAAGGAGCTGCAGCAGCTGAAGTTACAGGAGGAGGAGGAGGAGGAGGAGGAGGAGGATGAAGATCCAGTAGAGGCTGCAGAATGAACAGATTCACCTCTGGTGTCTCCACTGACACTGCTTCTGCTTCTTCAGTGGGAGGAAATCTGTTTTCTGTCGCTCGCGGTTTCAGACTGCTTCCTCAGACCTCAGACAAAGTCGCGGCTGCTGTGCTGCTTTTTAAATGGCACTTACTCGACAGGCTGCATTGAACCAAGGGAGTCGAAAACACTTTCAGATCATAAGCTATTCAAGATGAATCCTTTGTGTTTCATTTATATACTGTGGCAGAATCTCTCCAGGCTGCTCAGGCTGCAGGACAGTAGACACGGTTACAGCCTGTGTCCCTGCACATTGTCTCCCTGACACTTGACTGTGTCTCGCTCAGATGTTCGGCTGTTTTTGTTGAGAGTGAGATCTCTGTCCCTCATCCAGACCTTCACCTCCTGTCACACACACACACACACACACACACAGTGACAGTGACACCTCTGACAGTGACACACTCGTCCTCTTTGCCAGTCGGGTTAATCATTCTCTCACTTTCTTCCAAAACAGACCTTTGGCACAGCATCTGCAGCAGCTCGGTCCAAAAACTAAAACTTGAGCCTGTGAAATAAACGTTTCAGGAAATCAGCAGTCGAGTTTAAACATGTTTCATGGTCACAGATGTGAATTTATTGAAAAAGAGAAGAGCTTTGAAATCAGCTATCCTTTCATGTCTCTGCAGAGACTCTGTGTTATTCTGTATTCCTGAAGCAAGAGGAAGAAGAAATGTTTTTATTCTATTTTAATTTAATCTTTGCATATTGTATTCATGGGTTTTTCCAACAGAGACATTTCATCCACACAGACCATGAAAGCTGTTTGTGTGTTGGTCCTTGATTTCTTTTCATTGTTCAATTTGTTCAGAGTTGTTTTATTTTAAATGTCCAATCCCGACAAAACGTATTTATCTTTAACGTTTTAATCAGAAAAAGTTGTAGTTCTTCTAATTCATAAACAGTAAACAACATTTCAGTGTATAACTGTATTTTCACTCCATGATAATATCCGACACCAGACTTGGCTTGTGCTTCATCATCCGTCAAAGATTTGCAATTTGAAAACTGCTGCTGAGATTAAATCAAAAGCATGAAGTTATAAAAGAACAAATAAATACAAATACCCACAGATGAAGATCCCTCGTCGCTCAGTGTCTCATCTAAGACGTTTACGTGTGTGTGTGTGTGTAGTTACAGTCTCTCCTGATGAAGTTCGACCCTTTGGTTTCTAATCCCTGCAGCCGGCCTCACATGGCAGCGGCATCATAATGGGATTAGCGTGTAATCCAGTCACTTCCCCTTATGAAGCAGACTGAGAGGGCAACGTCCACACACCCTCAAAACACTGAGCCATTATTACAAACCACAGAGGGGCTTTATCTGGAAACGCTGCATATGAATGAGGCAGCTCAGGTCGGGTCCTGTACTGTTGGTACTGAGCTGGAGGTCAGTGACTGAGGAGGAGTCGTGGAAACACTGAATGTAATGATGCTCACAGTTAATCTGAATGTCACGACCATACAAATTACATGAATATTGTAATGTTTGATTTGGTCTCTTGGCTGTTTGTCCTTTTATGATTTATAATTTTTTTTAGCTAAATGTTTTCATTGTTTACAATCTTTTCTGCAGAACCAGTCAACCGTCCGATTAAATCCTGGATAATCCTGGACTTTATTTCTGGAATCATTGTAAACCTGCTTCCTTCAGCTGAACTTTCTAACAACTTCTGCTCAGTTTCAGGACAAACAAACCAGAATACTGTTCATTTATCATCCTCTCCAGATCTTCACTTATGAAACATTGGCAGTGCCTCAGAAAGAGATGGTTTCATCGTCTGTTGTTTCAAAACAAACTTTAAAATCGATGGATCGGTCCTTTTAGTCCAACAGCCCCATACAAAGAGACTGCAGAGTGTCCACATACTTTTGACCATGTGATGTAGAGTTTAAACACAGTGATCACTGTAATCAGGGGAAACCTAATATACTATAATATGTACTACTACCACACAGTACTTACTATATCAATGTATATGAAAACACTAAAATCCTCAAACAGCAGATACAAGATATTCACCCAACTCATTAAGATGAGTCGTCTTGGCTTCACTTTTTTATTTAAGTGACACCAATGATATAATCCTGTTTCCATGTATTTAAAAAAATCACACAACTTTAATAGAGTACATTTTTTTTACAGGTTAAAACAAAAGAAAACCTCTTTTTGAATCCAGCTGCTGTGATTTTACCAGAGGAGGATTCCAGCCGCTGCCACCGGATGGTGCTAAAGTACCTTCTGTGTTCCAGCTGCAGTTTGAGGCGTGATGGATGATGGGAAATTAAAAACTTTAAAGTTAGATTCCTTTAATTTTTTCTGCATCTTTGGCAGAAATTACAAGACTCGGTTTGACGTTATCTGAAAAACAAAGAAGAACAGAAGGAAACGGACTCAGACGTATTCTGACACTTTAAATCTTTAATCTTCTTAAACATGATATATAGATAATCGGCTCACCCGTTTAAAAAGAGCAGAGATTATTCATATTTCTCAAATGTGATGGGTCAAACAATATTTTCACCACATTCCACTTCACAGTCGGCCTTGGTCTCAGCTCTGTGGCCTCGTGGTGACCCTGTCTTAAACTGTCTGTTTATGATGCAGGGCATGCTGGGTAAAGTTGACCTGTTAGTCAGGGGTCAGCCGTTATCCTGTGATGCTGCAGCTCGATGGAGACAGACACAACTTGCACACATTCACCCGCTCAACCTCTTGAGAAGCTGAAAGTCTCCAATGTTCTCCAGAGTTCAGTCTGTGAAGTTTAAGTTTCTGTCTTTTCAGATATTTTCACTCTTGAGAATAATAAAAGTCTGTAATTAACAGTGCGGTTGTTCATATTTATAATTAAAATACACAGAAAATTCAACACATTTCAATTTACCTTTCCCAGAACTGTGCAATTAAAGTTATTCTCCATTACTATTTCCAGTTGTAATTACTTTCTACCCCACGGTCGTTTCATTAGCTCCTCATTCATACATCAATGAAGTATGTTGTCTTCTTCATACGTGTTCCTCAACATGTTCCTCAACAGCAGACAAACATGGAGCCAGTTTTTATCAGTATGAAAATATCAAACTTACACAACGGAGTCACTGTACATTCAAGTTTGAATATTTTACAGTACTGTGGACCTGCTGTACTGTAGATAATATTACCTTTAGATAAACTTTACTTTCTAATGTAGAATGACTTCTGCTCAGTTTCCATGTTAACGGCCTGATTTATTCTGATGAGAGGCAGAAGATGACAAAGAGAATAAGAGATTGAGCGTCTTTGAATATTAATGTTTAGCTTCAAAATGTAAAAGTCGACAATTGTACAATCGATTTCTCGTCCATATATAAATATAATAAACAATGTGAATCGATCCGTCTGAATAATCAGCAAAAACTGTTTTAATGCAAAACACAAAGAAGATTTTTTAAATGACAAGTTACTATTATTATTGTTATTGTTATTATTACTATCATTATTATGTTATTATTTTTGTTATTATTGTTATTGTTATTATTACTATCATTATTATGTTATTATTTTTGTTATTGTTGTTATTGTTGTTATTCTTATTGTTATTATTAGTAGTAGTAATAGTAGTATTAGTAGTAATAATAGTATTATCAGTACTAGTAAAAGTATTAGTAGTAGTAATAGTATTATCAGTACTAGTAAAAGTATTAGTAGTAGTAATAGTATTATCAGTACTAGTAAAAGTATTAGTAGTAGTAATAGTATTATCAGTACTAGTAAAAGTATTAGTAGTAGTAATAGTATTATCAGTACTAGTAAAAGTATTAGTAGTAGTAATAGTATTATCAGTACTAGTAAAAGTATTAGTAGTAGTAATAGTATTATCAGTACTAGTAAAAGTATTAGTATTACACATGCCGTCCAGCAGGGGGCTCTATTTCTGTGTCTGTTTCGCGGCAGAGCTGTCAAACTGGGACCCTCCCACAAGCACTCTGACCAATCACAGGAGGTTTAGGAAGCTGAGTGCTGCGGCTCTGACCAATCAAAATCTTTTAAAGGAAACCGGAAACGCCAAAGAGATCCATATAAAGCAGATTGTGGCGTCTCACGTGCGAACAGCTGTAATTCAGACGCGGGTTCATTTCGAAAGAAGTTTTTTAATAAACAACAATAGTTTCACATTTCTGTAATTGAATTATCATCAGTTTAATGAGGAACTTAATACCAGACCTGATTAAGAATCTTCTCTATTAAACTTTTTCTTTCTCACTTAGGAAAATATGTCGCACTTTTTTATTATGAAAGATCTTATTATAGAAAAACAGAATCCACTGTTTAATTCGGCTGATTTCAGTTAGTTTTTAAAAAACAGTTTAATGTTCATTATCGTCGCTGCGCCAGATGTTCTCTTGTTGAAGACGTGCTGTCGAAGGTGGCTGAACAACACAGGGGGTCGCGGGAACATTGGTGCGATTTAACTGCGAAAAACGTCATTTTGTGTTTTTTTTATTTAAGCCGAATTAACGCAGTTGATGAACGACAGGACGAGCTGGTGATTTATTGTTGAAGGGTCACGTGTTCTGACGAAGAAAGCAAGGGAGAGTTTAAATCTCCATATTTCCCAACGCGGCTTCGTCACGGAGACGAGCTAGCCTCGCAGACTCGTCTCGTCTTTCCCAGCCCCTTTGTTCCGTCTCGCCGGTGGGTTGAGTCAGGGAGGGAGGCTGAGCTACAGCCCCCGCAAACCCCCAGCACCGCGGGGAAAACACGCCACCAGCCGCAGGAGGACCGGATTTCACCATTCAAGCCGATTTAAGTCCGAGTTAGCTTCTTGAACCGGAGCCCTGCGGGAGAAAAGTTGGTTTTAAGTCCTGCCGATGCTGCGTTTGTGTTCGGGGAACCGAGCGCAGGAGCGGAGAGCCGGGGCCGGGCCACTCTGAACACCGCTACACGTCGGCCACCCTCGCCCCTTTTTCTGCCTCTCCTCCCGGGGAGTGAACCGGCAGCTGCGACCGCTCCCAGCGTCGCTGACCCGGCTGCGGTTGCTCCCATCACCCGCTGGAGATCCACGCCGGCTCTGCCCCTCGGCTCTCTGCATCAGCATCC